CTCTGGTTGACGGCGATGAGGATGCAGATGGTGATCAGGCACGTCGACAGCCTGGGGCGAACTAAGGTAGCCCGCAGCGATCAACTGGGTGTGCCTATCTAGATAAAGGGTCTGTTGCCCTCGATGGTTTCCTGGAGATATAGAGCACCGATACCCATACAAGAGAATTGAACAAAGGATGCCCAACTCGTTTATTCTTACCATACTACTACGTATCAGCCCGATATCAACTTGCAGTCGTTTTCAACATGTACACGGACCCCTGTCCTAGCGCGAGCAGACTAACTTGCGGGTTCGACCGCACGCGACATCCATGAAAGGTCGGAACGAGAGAAGGGGGCGGAAGCAAGGACGATCTGCTAGGTGTGAAGAGTGAGAACGGAGACGTTCCCTGGATCCTGGGACATCTCACGTGTGAAGGGTCTGTATCCGTAAGGTACTTATCCTTACCTCACTTTGTAATACATTTGTGCACCTGCATCACTGTCACTGTCGCTCTGAAATGAAATGCGCTCGCTCAGTACCTCACGGCGGGAATTGAGGGGTCCCTCTCTGTTTCAGGGGGGTGATTCGGAGAGAGAGATTCAGAAAAGAGCATTTTGGAAGTTGCAAAGGGCTGAGGTGAGCAAGTTTCAGAAGCGAGACGGGGACTCTTTTCTCTGGGGTGTGGTCGGGTTCAATTTGGCGCTAGCGGCTACTGGGGGGGTTCGGCTGTCAGTGAGCGTGCTGCGCGGCCTTCTCTTGCGCCATCGACGGGCGGTTTCTATGGGAATTAATAATGCGATTTGGCAGCACCAAGGAGGACAGATATATAATCGGTCTAGATGACTACCATCTCATCCGGTCTGCCGATGAATTTTCTCTGGTTTTTACTCTTGACTTAAAGATACCCCTTTCTCCAACAAGTTCCCGTAATACAAGCGAATCACCCGTAAACCACCCAGGATTATAAACGACTGGAGCTTTCCTTGCCCCTCCTTAATAGCTCTCTTGTACCCCGCCAAACGCTATACCGCAAACTCTCCCACCTGCAACCCACCGAATTTCCAATCTTTCGACGTCCTTCCAAACACCACCACCAAAAACCGACACAATGGCTGAGCACACCTACAAGTTCAACGTCAGCATGAGCTGCGGCGGCTGCTCCGGCGCCGTCGACCGCGTCCTGAAGAAGCTGGATGGTTAGTCCCCTCCCCACAGATTCCCTCCCCATTGCCGAAAGAACACGTGCTGACCAAAGCTTTGTCCGAATTACAGGCGTCAAGTCGTACGAAGTCTCCCTCGAGAGCCAGACCGCCACCGTCATCGCCGAGGAGAGCCTGCCCTACGAGAAGGTCCTCCAGACCATCTCCAAGACTGGCAAGAAGGTCAACTCTGGCAGCGCCGACGGCGTTGAGCAGAGCGTCGAGGTCACCGCATAAACAGCCTTTTTCTCGATCTGAGTAGCGAACGGGATATTCTTTGGGCAAGGAGTTTTATACAGAACGTTTTGACCGCTGCGACAAAAAATGCAGTACGGCAATACGTTTTTGCTGCCGAGGACTTTTTTTGCTTTTGCGCACTTGCGAAACCCATTATCAAAAATAGATATACTATGGTCGCTTCGACTCTTCATACACGTCTATGTCTACCAGGTACCTATGTGCTTTCCGCCATCGAAATTCGAGTGGCTCGAAAGTTGCATGGCCCGGTCACTGTATTGTTGGTTGACTGCGACTACGTGTGCATAGCTTTCCACGGCCGGATGCTAATGGCTGGATGAGTATCCTTTAAGGGTTTTCTTCTGGCCTCATTTTGCGCTTTTTGTTGTGAAGCCACATCCGACCCGACAATGTCTTTGAACTGTAGATCATCACCCCTCGTAGCTCCATGTTATAGTTCGCAGCGCATCTCCGGTCGACTTCGAACCTCTGCAGCTGAGTAAGATCAAGCCTAGCGAGGGGTGTCTGTAAGTTGATCCAGGCTTCTTGTCGCCAACTCACACGAAGGTACTCACACGAAGGTACTCACACGACGGTACTCACACAACGGTACTCACACGACGGTACTCACACGACGGTACTACCTACGTACTATTCTGGCATCGCTACCCACAAAACAGGCATCTTAGACTCCTGACACATTCAACTGCTGGAGCTCTTTGGATTTTGTTCGCAACCAAGGCGTCGGAACTGGGTGAATCAGGGCAATGTCTGTTTTCTCCTAGATTGTAATTCACGATGCCGATGTTACCATATCAGCCTAGAATCAGGATCCCTATCGGCGCATTCCATCACCTTTTCTCCAAATGATGGTGGTCATGCCGATAGCAGTGGAGATGAAAAAACCCGCCCTCATCTAGGTGACATTGATACAAGGCCTTGCCTGCTCCGAGCTGCTCTCTGAAGATTTTGCATAACTGCAGCAGCACGCATAATGCGGCATGAACAATCTGATCGGTTTGAGCTTTATTGACATGTCATCTTGACATGGAACGGCTGGAAGCTTTGTTGGACCGCAGATGGCTACCAAGACAACAAGAAGCTGCCCCTCCTATCTAGAAACTTCGTTATTGGCCCGGGATAGATGTGCCCCTCTTGCCCTCAATGAAGTTTTGCCATGGATGGCAGGGTTGCTACCTACTTCGGTCTACTATAAGCTTGCCGCCGTCTCATCAAGGGACACATTAGAAGGGCCTTTGGGGATCTCCCACCGCCGATCTTGGTGCCTTGCCCAATGGGAGCTTCTAGATCGAGCATGAGACGGGAGGACACGTGAAGTAAGGACCCTGAAAGAAAGGAGATGTGCAGCATGTTTGGGAAGCATATGTCTGGTATTTTACGTAGTGGCATGGTAGATCTGGAAGTGGCTGTCGACACCCGGAGCTCACTTCAGTCCCAAGGGTACCCACACCCGCCAACGCCACCCGGGGAGCCGGGGAGGAGTGCCTACCAACGTCATTTTTGCGCCGTGGGTGGTGGGGGGGCGATGGGAAAGGGCTGGGGGCCACGGGGGGGTAACCCACACAAAGCGCCGGCCGATGAGCGGCTGGATACGTTTTTGCGGTCTGGCCATGGGTATTTCCTTTGGCTTTGCGCGCCTGAGTTATGTCTAGGATGGTGGGAGTTGGGATAGACAAGTGAAAAGGGAAAGCGTCACACAGACAGATGACCGTCCGGCCCTGCCAGATGACGACCGGACCCGAAAGTGGGTGGCGGTGCTTGTACCGTTCCCCGTTTTTTCTTTGGCTTCCACGGGGTCTTGCCAAACGAATTGTTTGGTGAGGTGCACGAAGTACTTCGTAGAGAGCACGTACCCTTACCCTTAGTTAGGTAGCTGCCCGAACCTCTCATAATACGTCTGCCTTTCCTTGCATCAAAAGATGAGACCGCTGCGTTGCAGTTCTCGACACTAATGCAATTCCGACCTTTTGCAAAACATACAGCTGCTGCCTTGAAGTCAAATCGGACACTTTTTACTTCATCCGACTACAACTCTACTTCAAACTCAACCGGCAACACTACTTGAGAGAGGAGAAGAACCAGCTTCCAGAACACATCTCATCGAACGCCATCTCATCTCCATACCTACCACCGAGGAAGAAACAAACCGTCCTATATTCGCACACAACCAAATACCTTCTACCACAGCCGTCCTTCAAACCCCCACATTTCACAATGGGAACACCGTTCGTGTCCCTCCTGGAGCCGACCCGGCTCGACGCCTACATACGCGGCGCGCCGCACGACGAGCAGCCGGCGACGATACCAAAGGAGATTTGCGACGCCATGGAGGTGCGCGAAGCCGTCTTCGTCGCCGAACAAGGCGTCCCCGCCGAGAACGAGTTCGACGCCGACGACAGCCGCGCCTGCCACTGGGTCTCGTACGCGTCCGTCAATAAAGTCGTCGAGCAGGAGGTCCTCGACGACGCCGGCAACGTCGTCCGGCCCCGCCGCAGCAGCACCCGCAGCACGCCCATCGGGACCATCCGCCTCGTGCCATTTCCCCACGCCCCGCACCCCAAGGACGGGGGCGTCTACTGGGACGGGGTGTTGAAGGAGGATCCGGCGGCAGCGGGGGAGGCTGCGCCGAACGGGGAGAAGAAAGCGGGAGGAGACAAGGAATCTTCAGAGTCGACGAGCAACCCCGTGGAGGAAAGGGCCGAGAGCGCGGCGGAGCACGTGGGCGAGGAGAGGCGCATGTCGGCGACCAAAGTCTTTGCGCCGGACCGCGCGACGGCGCTGCACGACGGGCGGGAGCCGTACGTGAAGCTGGGCCGGCTGGCCGTGGTCAAGGAGTTTAGGGGACACCGGATCGCGAGGCTGCTGGTCACGACGGCGCTGGCGTGGCTGCGTGCGCACCCGAGCTACTTCGATCCCAGTATCAAGGAGATGGGGCTCGAGGCGATCGGGGCGACCAGCGCAGAGGAGGTGCCCAAGTGGAGGGGGCTCGTCTGCGTGCACTCGCAGGCGGCCGTGGTGGGCGCGTGGGAGAAGTTTGGGTTCCGGGTCGACGAGGAGATGGGGACTTGGTGGGAGGAGGGGATCGAGCACAAGGGTATGTTTATGCGGTTGGATGTCGAGGAGGAGAAGCCCATCCTTTGAAGAGGAAAGGATGAATCAGTGATGCTTGGCTGGAGGTTGGCCGCTTAAAAGGAGAGAACAGAAGGCTGGGAAGGCATCATCGCCTGGCTTAGCAATGATTGATGATGGGGTCTGGCTAATCGAGATGAGGGATCTCTGATGGTTTACGATACCCCATGATGATGGCTTTCTGCTTTTGGACCAACGTCCCTTAATATTATTTGGTAGTTTCGTCAAGACGGCATGGACATGTCGAGTTCGCCCATGCATTCACAAGGTACTTATGGCGGAGGACGAAGCAGTGACATGCTATGACGTTACGACGTCACCCAGGGTGGGCATCTCATACAGTCAACGGCGACGATACTGGGGAGGAAGCAAAGGGAAATATCATTCTCATCTCACATTAGACACCGTGGGGAAACGCCTGGGTTTTGTTCATTTGCTCTTACGAGCTTCGGCTTTTATTGGAATAAACCACCTTTTAAGCCGTGAAGAGACAAGATGCCGTAGCAGCTGCGTTCCCCCATTTCCCCGAAACGCGCGCAAATGCAAAACAAAAAGGGTCACCCAGCGCAAGACACCGCTTTTCTTTTCGTTCATGAATTGAAGAAAAAAGACGTTGAATTGCCCTGTTATGTAATACCACGCCTCCGATTTGATTTGTCCCCCAGAAAGCAGTTTTTTGACGTCTCGATAGAGAAATAGGGAAAAGGGGGAGGTTGTAGATGGAACCCCCATTTTTTCAACAGGTCTCCTCCACGTTTTTGTTGCCCGCCCTTTCTTGGCTCCCTCCTCCCCTTTCTCTCATTTCTCCAAACCAAGCGTGTTCACGGGGAACGAGCATGAGAGATTATTGCCTTATCCCACTATTTCCCGGGGAAAGAAAGACAAGAACCACCCACAGTCCCCAGACACACGCCTCTCCAAATCCCGGCAGCAGAGTTTCATAGCCCTTTCCACGAGGGGTAAAACACCATAGACAAAAGGGAGTAACGAAAACCCTTTACCGGTTGGACTTGGCGACACGCTCGAGCTCGTCCTTCTTCTTGATGGCGTAGGAGTTGCTGGAGCCCTTGGCGGCGTTGATGAGCTCCTCGGCAAGGCACTCGGCGATGGACTTGACGTTGCGGAAAGAGGCCTCACGGGCACCGGTGGTGAGGAGGGCGATGGCCTGGTTAACGCGGCGGAGGGGGGAGACATCGACGGCCTGGCGACGGACGGTACCGGCGGAACCGATACGGGTAGAGTCTTCGCGGGGACCGCAGTTGACGATGGCGTCGACGGCGATCTGGATGGGGTTCTGGTCGGTCATCAGGTGGATCTGTAGTCGCATGTGTTAGTCTTGTGTGTTATACCTCCTCATTGTGTCTGCAGGTCGGATTGGCCAAAGAGGTTTTTTGGCTTGTGGGTGCGGTCTCGGTAGGGTGGGTGACATACGATCTCGAAGGCGTGGGCAACGATGCGGACAGCCATGAGCTTCTTTCCGTTGTTGCGGCCGTGCATCATGAGGGAGTTGGTGAGACGCTCAATGATGGGGCAGTTGGCCTTGCGGAAGCGCTTGACAGCATAGCGGCCAGCGGAGTGGGTGACATAGACGGGGTTGCGGAGGGAGATGTAGTCACTATTCGATTCGGTTCGCGATTAGCTTCCTGAATTCTCCAAGTCCCAAGTTTCCAATTGCAAGTCCTCCGTTGAATGGTATTTCTCTTATTGTCGTTGTAAATCGCGTTCCTGCGCAAAGAAAGAGAAGAAAAAAAAGTGCTGGGAGGTGGACTCACGTCAGAGAGATGTCCCGGACCTCAACATCGTAATCCCACTTGTTGAAGAGCTTGACGTTGCCGACCTCCTTGACAACGTCCTTGGGGAGGACATCGTAGTTGCCCACGCTCTCGACCTCGATATCGCCGCCGTCAGACATTTTCGCTCGACCTTTGGGGGGTTAGTAGACCTTGTTGGGAAGGAAGATCGAGAAAGGCTTGGGGTGGGAAAATGTGGTGGTCGTGGGTTGAAGTTGTCCAAGTGCGAAAGTACGCCGCAGAGTGGGTTTCGATTTTTGCCAGCTCGCTCCTCGAAAACCGTGACTTTGGTGCACAAGGAACGGAACCACCAAGGGCTTTTGGTCCGGGCTCTGGTCCTCTTCGCTGGGCCACTGGGCGAAATATTTTTTCAACCCGCGATGGTGGTGGTGTGCACCCAATCAGAGCCTTCACAGCAGGCAAAGTGGACCCGCCCGCGTGCAATTTGTTAGGGTTGGCCAACCCTCCAACCGAAAGGCCTGGAGGGGTGGTTCTGGAGTGGCACCTCTTCCCGCAACCTCATACAATTGAAATTCCTACTCCCGACGACCTAGGTGCCTTTGGTATTCCGACCGACGACATCACAAATCAGACAAAATGGTACGCACGCGAAACGACGCCCCTCCTCCCGTGTGCGCGACGCACAAATTCGCGACTTGGCCAGATCACGATGCTGACTTGAATTGGATGTAAAGGCGCCAGCTGCAGGAGCTAAGAAGCAAAAGAAGAAGGTTCGTCGCAAACCCCGTGTTCCCATGAATGTGTCTTGAAGTGATAGAATGCTGACCTCGTCCCGATAGTGGTACGTATGATCCTATGCACACACGCACAAAGAACTTGTCGAAATATCCCCCAACGATACGCTACCCTCGGACGCCACTGCCTCTCTCATCCACCGACCAACCGACTTACCCATCGTTATAGGTCCAAGGGAAAGGTCAAGGACAAGGCCCAGCACGCCGTCATCCTCGACAAGGCCACCTCCGACAAGCTCTACAAGGATGTTCAGTCCTACCGCCTGGTGACCGTCGCCGTCCTCGTCGATCGTCTTAAGATCAACGGCTCCCTGGCCCGCAGATGTCTTGCCGACCTCGAGGAGAAGGGCATCATTAAGCCCGTTGTCCAGCACAGCAAGATGAAGATCTACAGTATGTCGAACCCATAGTGCTACGAGAGAAACCTACGGAGGAGCAGCAAAGCTAACAATCACCACCAGCCCGTGCCGTCGGTGGTACTGACTAAACCCGCTCAGCCATTGAACGTGGAACGCGTGACGACAAAAACAAAAAGCAACGGGAATCAGGGACGGATTTGGTCATATCTGCCTAGTCAGGAGGCTTTTCGGATGCTCAATGAAGCATTATACCTTGGGCCTTAGGGATCGGATTTGCTTAGCACCGCAAATGGAACGGAGTTGATCGTACATCTGCTGCGTCGTCAAATAGACCATGATCACGTCCTGACGTCCCAATGATACCGGCCCAAAGGTTATCGTCCCAGTGCATGTGGCCCATAGGCATTGTGATTCCCTCAGACGTCATAGCCCAGTCACGTCTTGCTCCAGTTAATGGTCTTTGCCATGCTGGTTTGCCTACTAGGTATTGAAGCCCATGTGCGAAGGCAAGCGGAGTTCTCCGGGGGTATGAACTGTGAGATGGAAGTGGCTCTCAACCCGACTGCTGTAGTCATCGCTGTGCGAATAATTTCATTCGCCAGCAAAGCGGTCGTTGCTCCGATATTCACGGTCTCCAAAGACCCAATAATGTTGCAACAACAACTCTCGCCCGCCAAGAGGCCCACAGATAGTGTTCCTGTCCGAAGAAGACAGCCGCATCTGATGCTGTAGGGCTGTGACGCACAGCTTAGTATCGTTCGCTCCGTGTTTCCACTTTCATGATGCGCCGGAAGCTCGAGAGCCAAGCGAAAGACCGGCTTGCCTTGGGTCTTGGCCCGCAGTCAATCCAGCCCTAGAGGTCACTCTTCAAGGCCCGATGTCATGCAGATTGAGGGCAACGGTTGCTGGGCTGAGATGAAGTGTTCTCGTCGCACGAAGGCCTGAGCATCAAGCCCTAGTAATACAGAAGGATCTTTCGATGGCTTTTGTCCTACGGTCTTGACGATGGCAACACTGGTTGAGCCTCGTCGACCGCCACCAGAGAGGCTGACGCTAGAATAAAATCATTATTCGTTGATGGAATGCAATATCGCGGTCTGTACTCGGTACGCATACTCGTCGGTCGACTCATTTGCCGTCTATCGTATTTCGGTAGTAATGACAACGTAATAATAATTTTGTGCATACGGAGTGGATGCTTCCTTTAATCTGTCACTCGCTTGATGAATTACTCGCGCTCTTGGTTTCTGGAGACATCGGCGTCAGCGCTGTGATGGATACTGGCATGAGCGTCAATGTCGCTGTCACTCTGGCTGCCACTTTGACAGGAATACGCCATTCCCTGGTCTTGCGCCTAAGAACCCGCGTACTACGTACATGAATTTGAAGACGCAAAGGCCGGTTGCGGGGATACAGTTTAAGAGCTTCTTGAGTCCTTTGCCGGGGCCCAAGCCCGGAGCCCGAGATGTCGGACACGTCAAGGGGCTGGCAGTGGGAATGGACTCGGAAGTGGTTCGGGCTGATGAGATTAAACCAGTCGTTGGCGGCTGGGCGCTACGGCGGGACTTCCCAGGCGCTTTGGTCAAGTTTGGGGGTGTTTGACCAGGAAGTCAAATTGACTAGGGCGGTCCGAAATTTGATGTCATGTCGAAATTGGCAGCGTCACGAAATGCCCCTTTTCCCCTTCTCTTTCTGCGACAAGGGGAATTGGTATTGGATTTTGGAGGGGTTGATGGAGATGAGAAGTGATTAGTCCGTAAGGTGGTAGCGCGGTTCGCGTGCGAGCTTGCGTGCATCGAGTTTTCGAGGGGTAGTGAGCATGACTTGGTCGAACGTTGATTGGGAAGCCGAAGAATGCTAGAAATGCCTTGTTCAATGTTAGTTCCAGGGTCTCATTTGAACAAAGGAGCGGCACATGATGCGGCTGTAAGCCAGACGTGAACGTCATGTGGTGGCTGACGAATGACAAGCCATAGAAACACGCAGACCATATGGCAGCGGGATCCAGAGACTCAATACACAGCTGACTGGTTGACGAACCCCCCCAAAAAGACGGATATGACGAGAAGTGAAGAGGGATGGACCGGATCATTTGGTTCGTTTCAACTTTGAAGTTGGAGCGTAGACCCAAGAAGCTTGTAACTTTGCCGGCATGAAGGGGGAGAAGTGGTAGGATGGGGATTAAAGGCATGTTTTAAGGTATGGTATGTATGTTGGTGGGATGAAATGAAAGGCAGGCACGGCAGGCCAATGTACCTACTCCGTAATGCTAGGTAAATTAGCTGTCAAGACTCGGACGAGTTCGTGGAGGAGGGAAGGATCGTAAGGAACCTTGGTTCGTGATGTCCATTCCGGCCATTAGGTGGTAGGTGCACTACCTTAAGGTAATGCCGCATAGGCATTCACTGTACTCCGTATACGGAGTACCTAAGGTAAGTAGGTACTGGTAAGGTGCGAAGCAGTTACCGACAGTCGGTTTGTATCATGAGCACCTTTCTTTGCTTCCACAGGTTCCTTAGCTTGAGGTTAGGTATCCGTGAGGTAGGGAGACGGGAAGCTATCTTGGAGAAAGTAACGGAGGAAGTGAACGAGGGGCCTAGAGCAAATGACCTTGCCCTGTTGGTCGTAGTGACAAGTGGTGAAGGTGGGATTTCCAGGGTCGTGGAGAGCTGCACATGGAAGGCGCTCAAGGCTTAAGCCTCCAAGGAAGGAAGGAAGGAAGTTGGCCCCGACCTGGAAGCCGATGTCGTCAGGTACGGATAGCGTGCCTTTGTCGTCTATCTTAATTAGTGGCCGGGGTGGGCGGATGGATGGATGGATGCAGGCCAGCTGCAGGTGCATAGGTCCTCCGAAGACAAGGGATGGATAGATACTCTGCAGTATGCATGGTGGTGTCGGATACCCTCACCATCAAGATAGAATATGCCCATCTTTTCTTGCTCTCATGTGGCAAGTGCTCTATGTACTAGCGTTCTTTTACTTTGAGAGCCCTCCAATCCAGGTAGGACATGGAGTATGGACAGTACTCGCCAAACCAAGCCTCGAGGTGTATTTCGAGGTCAGTGTTCGCAAGAGTTCAGCCATTGACGAGGCTGCTACATGGTCTCAAACATGCCCCCTCCACTTCATGCTTTGCAACCATCTGGCTTTTTCGGGGGTCGCCTGTCAAGCCTGTTCCCAACTTTGCCGCTGGCCAGGCGTGGGCAAGCAAGCATCAAGAGAGGAGCTGAGGTGTCAGGAGCCTGGTTTATGCACTTCCATGCAACTTGCAGTGCGTGTATCCGTACGGAGTACTGCGTACCTCACTACGTAGAGGGTGGGAGCGTAAGGTAGGTGCTCTTTTAGATTTGGATCGCCTGTCCCGGTCGGGTCGCATGAACACTCCTTCTGCGCCCAATTGACTGGGTCTCGAGACCATTCCCTTTGCAGCTGATTACAGATGGCAACCTGGTAATTGCACGCTCCACCATAGGACATAGGACCCAAAAAGACAGCAGGAGCAGATGCAGGACTCGAGGTACCTGATTTCCTGATGCGAGACTGCGGAGCCCCCGACGTACCTATTGTCTATCCAACCTCCGGATTGACTCCGTCCACTTACCTTGGGGCAATCGCAACCCGCTTGCCTCCTTCCTTTAGATGCAATTCAACCACACTGGTTCCTCATTCTCAAGGTGAGGTACTTGTACAGAGAGATACCTTTCTCAAGTGTCATCATCTCAAAGAGTCCCGTTAGGTTCTAAGATGTGTGAGGTAAAGGAAGGTAGGTACCTACAATTATACCAGAGGTACCTAAACATGATATGGCGAGCCTTCCGTTCATTGCCCTCCCTCATTGCGCCTTCTCATGAACCTGCAGCAGATATAATTGGTAATTATCCGGTACACCGTCTCCAGGCCCCTCCCTCCTTACTGTGTCCGCATGTGTGTGCCGCCCGTACCTGGCCCCTTCCCCTTCCCGGCCTGTGATCTCCATGTGTGCCAACGAAAAATAATGCGCACCACCAGATGATGGCCCTGATGTCAGGCACCACACCTGCCCTGTCTTACATCTTCGTTCTGACTTCTCTCCTGCTCAGTCCTCCCCTTCTTGGTTCCAACTTGCACTGTCTTGATCTGACCCCATCTGAATGGACCGTGACCAAACCAGGTTTGCCCACATCCGCCTGTCTCGCCTCTCCTCTTGTTGCTTCCCTCAACCTTACAAAGTCCAAGTCCATCCCGCATCCAAAAGCCTCCGCCGTTCCTGTCCCGACTTGACTTCCTTGTTCCTCCTCCCCTTCCAAGTTCCCGCCTCCACCTCTCCCACCGTCTCCGATCCCCTTTTCCCTGCCGCTTGCAGACAAGACAACCACAGACGAAACAAATACTCGCCCACCTCCCTTCAGCTCTGCTCTCAGGTCTTTCTCTCCGGCGCATCAAAGATACCCCTCTCTGCCTGTGCCTTACTCCATCCATCTTTCGCGACAGAACCACCAACGCACTTGTTCGACATCTTCCATCTTGCTTCTAGAGCATTGCATAGCCAACTCGCCTTACCGCCTCTTATCCACCATACATTACTATCCGCCTACTTGGATTACCACATCGGTGTGACAAGCACCCTGTCGACACTGTCAACCACTAACCGCTGATCATCCTCCCTTTTTGGTCGACCACGAACCCAACCGTCTCCAATCCCTGATTGCGAGTCCTCTTTTCTCCCACTCGCAACCTCACAATCTCATCTCCTCTGCCTATCCGAAGCTTCTTCCTACATACGAAATGGCGCACAACATGACCGACGCTGAGCTCGACCTCGACTGGCAGCCCAATGGCCGCCGCCCTCAATCGTGCGTTCCAATGGCCCGCCTCAGTTAACAAAAACCGTGCGAGATGCGTTGCTGACCCGCAGTCGCGCAGTACCATTGCTCGTTCCTTCTCCCAGGAGCTTGCCGACATCTTCCGCCTCGACGAACCCGTCACAGACGAGAAGCTTGATCAACGGTATGTAGAGCCGCATCACCCTGAATCATGTTTCACCTTACGACATACAGCTTTACACCAAAAGGCGTAAACTCAGAAAACTAAGAGAATCGTTACAGAAAGCAGAATGTCCAGAGCCAGACAAGCGAGCTTGAAGCTCTCG